GACAACATAAGACTGGGTCTGGTGACAAGGGGCCAGAAGATATGTGGCCCATAAAGTGCCTCGAGTTCAACAGAACAGGCAGCAGCATTTAGAATGGAGGAAATAAATCACCTCCAACTGACTCTTAGTTAACATAAAGTTTATCCAATACACATATGGAAGTTGGGAAATGGATCCACAAACATAGCAAGTTTAAGTTGCATGCTGAGGTGATAAGAAATTCAGCCTTGAAAAGGCTGAATGTATTGCATATCTAAATAAAAGAATCATTCACCTTCCATGCTGTTCAAATTCGACCAAAAGAAGAAAGACCATAAAAGAGCACATTCCAGGAAGCAACCAAGAATCTTTGGCTCGGAAAGTGAGAAAAGCAACAGTAAAAATAATCAAGGATAAAACTATTAGTATGCACCCAAGTCTCCCCAAAAAGTAAACCATCAAAAGGAATACAATGTAACGTACTTGAAGCCATAAGGATCTTCTACAAGTGATGCATCGTCTTCATCATCTTCTGGAGAGACATACACTACTTCTAACCTAATAGTTCCCTCTTGTGATGACAACAACTGTACTGCATCTGCATGATTTACCTGTAAAATTTCACTATGAAAATTATTTAGAAGATTAACAATAAGTTCAACACCTGTACTATATATCTACTCTAACATAATATGCCCCTCATCTAATTGCTATAGCTTAGGTGAATGAAATTTACTTCATACAGTATGTGTATATTGTATTAAACCATGGAAATGCTAGACGTAACATGCATAATATAAAATGAAGCGTAATAAAAACTGTTGAACGAGGAATTTATGACTAAATTAATTTTAAAGATTGGTTATATATATTTTCTCCTATCAGTGCTATAATATCTATATACAGTCATCTTACCTCTTTTAGAGACCTGTCATTAACAGATAGTATAGCATCTCCAACATATAGGTGTCCAGAGCGGCTAGCAGGCGTGTCAGGGTGAATGACGGATATAAGGATTGGCACACCATGCTCTCGGCCTCCCTGAAGAGTTTAGTGAAATCTATTTTAACAAATTGTATAATATATATGACTTAACTGATCTAAAGGAAAGCAAAGTCACATTTGGTTCTTAATGATGACCAGACCACACACTAGAATGTGAAGGGACGACGACGTTTCAGTCCGTCCTGGACCATTCTCAAGTCGATTGTGAGTGACAATCAATCGACTTGAGAATGGTCCAGGACGGACCGAAACGTCATCGTCCCTTCACATTCTAGTGTGTGGTCTGGTCATCATACTTTAGCCACGTTATTGTGACTCATCGCCTGCATTTGGTTCTTAACTTAACCTTTACATCAAAACTGCAAGAATCCAAATGCAGTATAGTTATAGAAAGAAAATACAGTATGTGTGTACAGTATTATATTTTAGAGAGTAGTAACAGATACAGCATTACCATACATATTTATTGTCAAATATTGTACTGTACCTCTGATTATCTTTTAGGAAACAAAGAATTAGAAGACAATGACAAGAGGCAAAATGTATTACTGTACCACATTCATTAATTCTGCAACACTATCATCATTAAGAGACTTTTACTTCTACATAATTTAATACCATTCTTCATTCTACCTTCCTGACACCATATATGCTATATAAATACAGTAATATTAAATCAAACTGTAGTAAATATTTGTACCACGAGTTCCATTTCAGGTATGTTTAAATTTCAAAGGATTCTAGGATTTTATAAAAGTTATAATGACACTATCAATACTCACTGTAATTGACATACCAAGACCCTCATCCGGAGGCTTCTGTAAGGTTACAATTCTCCGTTGCTGCTGCTTGCTTGGCCGTGACATTCCACCTCCATTTACTATACCAGCATTTCCATCTCCAGACACCTAATAATGCAGATATTTTTTAAGAATTAAAAACGTCATTCTTTTTTTAGACCCAGAGGATAGAGTGTTAAGGTATTTTCATAAAAGTAACTAGAATCACAAACAATGCCTACTTAAGTGTGCCAGCTCTAAATGATTACAGTATTGGTGGTTTTCCGAGTTGTTGGTGAGTGTCTTGCCAACAACTCACAAGATACGTAAAAATGTGTGTATCATCAGTGTTTATATGGATACAAGGAGAATTAGTATACCTGGTACTCTAACAGTAAAGACTATTTACATATCAAATTGTGTTTACAGAATAGGAAATATAAAGTTACATTGTGGTCATTCAAGCTATCCACTGCTTGTTTTTTTTTATCATGCTCAAACTGCAGTACCATTTCCAATCTGCTACATATCTTACTCCACTTATTCTTTTCAATAAAATCTAGTTTCTTATACAATACTGAACTTTATCTTTCCTCTTTCCATTTTATTTTACAATGATTTTCATTCTTTTTTCTCACTTGTACATCTATATTGAGGCAATTCTAGTTTTCTTTCACAACATTCAGAATTATTTCCTATGTAATGTCAAAAGGGATGGTTATTTACAAGAAACTTGTCTAAGAGTTCAAAAAGACAAACACAGTATATTAACCTCTCTCTTACTGAACACTGAGCAGTTAGTATTTATTATCCTTCAGGTATTTCTGTGGTGAAAGAATACAATAAAATTGTTGCCTCTTCCAACTATAATTATTTTACCTGTGAACAATGAGTGAAACGACTGCGACAAGCTCGCACTACAGTCTTGTGCCGATGTAAGTGAATCTCGGCTTCCAGCTGGCGCCACAATTTGTCATGTTCTTCTCCTCGCAAGTCTCTACCCAGCAGCTGAATCTGCTGAATCCTACAAAACAAGAATTATAAATATTTAATCATTGTGTAAATGAAACCAGCATGAATGTAATGAAATGCATATTTCTGGATGAGCCCAGTAGTTCCCTAAAGCTATCTCACTAAGATGGCTCCCAACTACTTGGTCACATCAACCTACGGGGTTTTGTTTAGCTTACCAGGGACCACAGCCTGAACCTTGACCTCTTTACAGTGGTGCAGAGCACAGGTGACACTGTTGCCACAGTACCTGAAAGTCACCAAATCAATACAGACCACTGTTGGGTTGAAAGACACAGAAGCCTCGAGATTGCCAAATGAACTCCCCCAAACAATATAAACAAATGATCGAATCTCTCTAAACCAGAGACAGCTCATTAGCACAAGCTTAACATCAAATATAGGCAAGCACATTTTAAGCGAGTACCATATATATGGTGAGAAAGACACGTCATTCTTTCCAAGAGGAAGGAAACCTCTGGAATGATTTAGGATGGGATGAAGGGAAGGAATGGTGTCCAACTACTTGAATGGTCAGGGATTGAACGCCGACCTGCAAGATGGTCTAGCATTCGGTCCTTGACCATCCAAGTAGTTGGGCACCATTCCCTTCCCTTTGTTTTACCCTAAATCCTTCTGGAGGTTTCCTTACATCCAGAAGGATGAATTCGATAGACCATATGGTAAAGTACATGAAAACAAACCCTGGGGAGAACTGCAGAAGGATCAAAATCATACAAGGAGTGGGGAGGGGGTAAGAAAATCTCTTCATATTACAAAATTTACTTTCAATTCTTCTCTCCTTTCCTCCTCATTTATTCCATTTATATCAATCATACACACATTCAATTCTTCATCCAATCCCTCCCAAAGTCACCTACACTTCACTCTACCACAAACAAGGGTGGGTGTTAGTAGCAACTCAAACATGCAGTATTCCAGTAGCAGCTTGGGTCGGGTTGTCTTGTTGCCCAATGAAACTGTACAGTATTTGCACACTGCATTTGAATATGTGGGTCATCAAATTAAAATTAAATTCACCTCAAGTATGTGGGGAAAGCTTGATTTTTAACAGAGAACTTACCTTCCAGCTAATTCTTTATCTAAGTACTTGGCAGCAAGTTTGGCTCCGAAGAGTTCCCCTTGTAGTCCTAGTATATATCGACGTAGAGTGTCATTTTCTTTCCTTAATATGGCTGCTTCATGTGTTCCAATCATAATTCTAAGGTTCTCTGATCGCTGCTCTTCCAAATCTTTTTCCTAAGAAGGGGGTATAAAATTATAATTGCCTTACTATTTAGCAAAGTTCTAGCAGTTTTAACAGCAATAACTTAATATAACATTTAAACTCAATGAAAGTAAAAAAATTGAAAATAAATAAATTGCACATGTATTTCAGAAACAAATAGGTGTTTAGGCATTATTCACCAGTTATTTGTCTCGTATTTTTTTTTTTAAATCTGAACGAGACAGTCCACATCTAATACTCCAATACAGTACAGTACTGTACTTCCAACTTTGTTGAAACACCTTTGACACATCCTCACTCATTCCCTCTCACACAACCAAAATATCCTAACTACTATATTATGTTATCCCAGTATTTTTGCCAGATTCCATGTGCTTAGATTTCCTGTGCCAGTCATTCATATTAAACGTTTTTGTTAAATACAAAATCATCTATCTACAACTTCCTCGCCCAACATACAGTACTGAATTTTCAATGTACAATATTGCATATGAATTACAATAAACAGAAAACTTATTTATGCTGCTGCATTTATCAAAAACCGTTCGACTGAACTATTAATACTTACACATTCATCCTATTTAAAGCAGCACAAACAAGGTAGGTATATTTTAGTAGAATGTAACATTTTGAGCATTGATAATTGTAAATGCAAGTTAATTTTATAATAGGCAAGGCATTTGATTTCAACCTGTTATTTCAATAATTTTCATTTATTAACAAAAATGATAAATAATAAGATTTAAATACTCTACAAAACACACAGAAATCAATCATTACTTTATAATCATTTTACTCTACAGATTATTTGTGATGAAGCAACAGAGAAGGAAGCATACATAATAAGCTACTACATGAACCATGAGTGTGTGTGAGCGGGAAAACATCACACACACATTTCAGATGATCAGTGACATAGAAGTAACTGACTTAGCCCGTGAATAATAAACAATTATTATTAGCACAAGATAGAATGAGCAAATAATGTCATTTTGTCTACCATTCATCTGACTTATTTTTAAATACAAGTGATAATCAGTAGCTGAAGCGCTCCCACAACAACCAAAACACCTGCCTAGGATACAAAAAATCTAATTTTGATAAATTCCAGTAAACATGAATGAAAAAGTGCATACAAGGCTAAAGGTTACACGAGTAAATAATACAGATTAAAAAAGTTCCAGGACATACAATGACATATTTACAAAATAACAATCAGGCCAGCACAATAGTACCCATGCTTCCTGCTACCATTTGCCATGAAAACCAACACAGCTAAAAGCAAAGAGCGAAAAGTGGCATCGTGTCAATGCCAATATATCTATAAATGAGTTGAAAAAGAGCAACAGAATGTAGTATCCAATATTGAACTTTGTGACTTGAATGCTCTTGAAACAAATGACTTTATGCTCTCTCCAATAGACAGCTGTACACAATTAGACATATATATCCCAGACAGAGACTTCATTTGTCATCAACAAATCTACCAACTACAAAATCCAAACATTACTGTACCAAATGCACACAATGTCAATACAACCAAGTTAGAAGAAAAACCTAAATATAAAAATCCAAGGACTGTATCCAAGTCCAATAATTTCAAGCAACCTACCCAAAAATGCAGCAAAAATGGATCTCTTTAGACCTCGGCTACAACTAGCAACAGACATACCCAAGTGACCACCTATCAGCTACATCCGGTATCACCACCACTTCTACTTTACCTACAACACCAGCCTGCCTCTTGGTGCAAAAAAAAAAAAAAAAATAACACAGGAGCAAGCACTAACTATAGAGCTTTATTACAATAATACTGTATACAGTAAACCCTTGAATAGTACAAGAAATGTGTTCCTTAAGAAACTTTCAAGAACTATGAAGCATAAGTGCAGCAAAACAGGCAATTGCTTAACAAAAATTAAGGCCCCAAAGGTTAACAACACAAACTAACCATTACCATGATGTAAATACTGATGCTGTTGTGCCCACCAAACACTTAAGTGGTAGTCCAGGTCCCCAGGCGAGTCCCGCCACCCCGCACCATCACACACAACCTATCCAAGCAAAAGATTAGCACCCTTTCTTATGGCCCATCTCGACAAAAGACCCCCATTTCATGGGAAAGAAGAGAACAGGGTGTAGATGGGGAGCTACTGAGGTCCCCACCAGAAAATAAATTCATTAAATTCAATACTTGATTTCTTGGAGGGAAGCCCTCAGTAGCTACCCGAAGCTATCTCAATGGTGCCTCATCAGAGGATGCTAGCATTTTCAATGCAGAATTAAACAAGCACACAAGATGTGACCAGAAGCAGGCCAGAGTCTGAACAGAAGACCAGGAGTCACAAACCACAAAGTAAAAAGGGCCAAAAAGTGGCTGGCCAAAAGACCCAGAAGGATGCCAGGAAACCAACAGGTCATTATAAACTTGGCACAGTGACCCAAAACCAAGAGTCCATGGCTCCAAAAACCAGAGGAAACCCTCAACAATAAACAGGAAATAGCTGAACCTGAAGCTCGGGCACACCACCATAATAACAGAGGATAATATGCTGCCCCAGCTAGCACTGCATCAGTTCGGGCCTGTGGACTTGCAACACAAAACTACTGTACTTAAAAGTTCCGTTCCTCACAGCGAGCCAGACAAGTCTTGTCTTCAGGTACGTGAAAGATAGGTCCTCAAGGTCTGGTAAATTTGCTAAGGCTTAGTGGAACCAGAATTAAACACTTGGAAAACATTGCATCTTAACGTAACGAACTAAAATAGATACAGTACTAGCCGCTCTCTGATCTTCTCCGAGTCTTGTGTGCGAGCTGCTCCACCAGTGGAGTGTAACTGTAGCTGGCTGGAGTGCAGTTTCATTAAGAGCTCTCTGCTCTCTGCCTCAGCTACCTGGCGGAAGGCTCGACCCTCTGCACACTCGTGGCGAAGGTGCACCAACTCTGCCTAACATGTTTAACATTTTATTAGTATTTCATTAATACTGTCGTAAATTGAATTAATGTTATTACATTGATAATTACACTTGTGTATTACACATTACAATATCAATATCAAGTTAAACTACAAATTAGAAACACTCATCATATGTAATAAAGCTGCAAGCAGTGCTGCACTGGGCCCAAGCACTATTTGGTCACACAACCCATCGTGTGTGTTCTAATTTGCATCTACTCGGCTACATGTGCTGCAGAAAATTTAATATATTTACCTGCAGAGTAGGTATAATATACAATAATCTCATGACCTTACAAACCAACAAACTTCCAGGGATATGTAGTTATCTTGTGGTAACATCCCAAAATTCAGCTCTCAATGCCACCATCCATTTCTGCTCAGCAGCATATTTTGTTATAATTATCCAATTAATAAAGGGACTCGTTTCTACTAAAGTTATGGTGCCTTCAGCATTGCACTATTGAAACCTGATATACTGTATATAAAATTACACACACACACACATTGATTTACAAGCTTTACAGTGCAGCAGGTATCAAAATTTTTCTCTTTGTTCCAGATTTTTATTCTTATAACAATGTACAGCACATTACATGCGTCTTGAAGGCATAAAGTAGTGTACAGTACACACAAATATTATTGAATTTTTATATTATATAAAGTGTGTTACACAGACTGGACATATGCTGTTATTTATAGCTCCTGCTATAAATATAAATAAATATTAATAAATATAAATTTAAATATAAAAGTATAAATATAAATAAAGTTCCATTTATTTATTCGATTTTGTACAATAGTAATGATAAAATACTGTAAGTGTGCATACTGCATAAAGAACAAAGGGAGGGAGGTGAGGAGAAAGAGAGAGACTGGCTGAGAAGTCTGAAGCACCTGCTACTCAATAACAATGAAAATACAGTTATGTGTATTTCCTCATTATACAGTACCTACTGCAAGGCTAAGACAGTACTGTATTAATAGTGAACAATGCAACAATGTTAAGTTACATAATCAAGACATGAATTATAAAATCATACAACTAAGTCTACTTGAAGGAAATATTTAACTGACCTCAAGTTTAGCATTGGCCTGGAAGACTGTCTGCGCCTTGTGAGCAAGTTGTGCAAAACACGATGAGAGTGCCTCCAGTCTAGATCGAGCTTGTGCTTGAAAGTCAGGCTCCTCCACATCATAGTGGTCAACTTCACCTGCAAGTGAATATATATATACCATACTTATTACAGACACTCGTGACCTTGACAGAAGCTGAATACTGTGCTGTATTTAGTGTTGTAACGTGTTCTAACCGTCTACCACTCTGGTGCAAAAGTGAACTTTTTATTTTTTCCTTCCTCTTTTCATGAAGGTTTATTTAGGAGACCACCATCATATTCTCCTCCTCCTCCTCCTCCTGGCAGAAAAAAAAGGTCCATGTTCTGAAATACTGTATATAAATTCTAAAGGGCATAACCAAAAATGAAACAGCCTAACCATAAACCTAACTTAACCTATCCTAGCCCTAACTACACAATCCGAGGCTTAACATCAATCTTAGGATCAATTTAGTACTGTACTGTGTATATATACCAGTAATCTTTGTACTAAATTCCTAGAGCTAGAAAGCATTAGGTTTTTCTTGGACCCCTCTACAAAATTAATATTACTAAATGTGAACTTCTGTTTGGATGCACGTATCGCCAGGCCGTGAGGACGACACGGATCGCCAGGCCGTGAGGACTGAGTGCCCTTCATCATCAGAACAAATGGGAGGATCTTTAACAAGCTGCCGCCTTTATGTCCTCATCAAGACCACTAGAATGTTAGTGGTCCTCAGGCATATTCAGGTAAATATCTGTACGAGTACAATTCACATTCCTTTACCATCACAGGTACAGTACTGCATTATCTCCATTTTAATACAATCGTCTGGTTTTCCATAGACTCTTGTCTAAGCTTTTTGTTCATCAAGCATGCTGGGCAAGGCAAGTGTTCCTCTGACATAACGGAGTACATGTTTCTAAAGTGGACTTATACTGCTTGAAATTCAGGTCTATGACTGCTTTCTGGCTGCTATATAAACCGTCTTTTTCTGGCTAGCTAGCAGACAGTTGTTCTCTATGAGGTAGTGGAAACAGTTCTGCATACTTTGGTCTCTCCTGTCTTAATGTAACCCTGTATAATCCAATGCTGGAGATGCTGGCAGCTCCATGTCCATGTTTTCCTGTTATTACAGTAGTATACTGTACTGTAACCTGCTGCAGCCAATTTCAGTATGTATTCATCTGACACCCTCTTTTCACGTATCTTTTCACGAAAAGATACGTGAATTCAGAGACAATTCTGTAATGAATGTTCCAACGATGTGTAAATATTTCATTCAAAATTTTTTGCTACCAGAAATTTTAGCCAAATATCCCCAGTTTGCTAACTGTAGGTAGTAACTAAGTGATTGTAACCTATCCACCGCTGCCCACTGGATGGGGGGGGGGGCGTTGTGCGGGACAAACATATCAGTTGTGACACTAGCTCTCCTCATATGTCAGTTGCTAAATTTAGAAACTGTACTTGTGATCGATCTCGAACTCATTGATGATGTGACGACTTGTACTGAATTTTGTAAATAGCTCAAGATAATAACTTGCTTAGCTAAATGAATTGTGGGGTTCAGTCCCTGAGCCCATTATGTGCCTCTGTAACCCTTTCCACTACCGCCCACAAGATGGGTATGGGGTGCATAGTAAATGAACTAAACTAACTAACAGATACTGTCAGATTTATCTCTTATCAGAAACTCTAATCCTCCCACCTATTGTATGAATTGCCAGTCTAAACTTAATCATTGAGCCCATTTTGGAAAGGTTGACAGCCTCAAAATGAACAACTGCAAAGAAAACTTGAGAGTTAATCTCGAGACATAAAATACTGAACCAGTTAGAAAACATTAATCCACACACTTTGTTAAAAGATCCATCATAACTCTCACAAGGAGTAAGAGCCTTAATCTCGAGAAGGCACAAGTTCTGACAGGAAACTGGAAATATTTTTTCCCCCCAGAGAGTAATAAAGCCATGGCTTTACGCTACCCGCCGAAGCTGTAAATACCATGACAGCTTCATCTTAAAATACTTCTGGAAAAAATCATTAAGAACAATGGGAGGACCTTAGAAAAGCCGCCGACTTCCTGCCACAAGTCCATGCCACTAGAGATAAAGTCCTTCAGGAAAATTCAAAATCCGACGTGGCCAACCTTCCCCACAGCGTGTGAGTAGTTTAAGACTTTATCACACTTCTGTCTTAATAGTAATGGAACAACTAACACCTGACACGGTTGTCCTCACCTATCAAGAGGTCAAGGTCAACGAAGGCCTTGTCGAATTCCTTCTCCAGTATATCGAGCCATCGGAAAGTGACGTTTGTGGCGGCCATGACACCCTCTGCCAGCTGGCCACAGTAAACAAACAATAGTGTTTGTATTGCAAACTTCACGCATTATTGTTTGTGTGTGTAATAATGCAGTGGAAAATTACATAGGTTATTTATATAGGAGTAAATATTATAACAAGTATCTAATAAGATATGTGCATTAAGTCTGCTGCAATAGGTGATCCATGAGGGAGGAACCGGACCATATATATTAATTAATTAATTTATTTATTTATTTACTTATTTATTTATATACAAGAAGGTACATTGGGGGTTAACAGAGAACACAGAAATTTAGTTGATTTTACATTCTTGTAAAGCTACTAGTACGCATAGCGTTTCGGGCATATTATGACTGTAGCGAGTACTGTATATTTGGTCAATAATATAACCTAACCATCCTGTGAGATGGAAATATTAGATGAACTTATAGCTAGCTTTTTATCTACACTATGTAATTTTTTAATGTAGTATAGGGTAGCAGCACATTGCTGTGTATACCTAGGCTTGTTAATAAAAAATCATATTTACCTGATTCTACTTCTTAATTAACAGTTGTAACTAGCTCATTAAAACTGTAACTTGATTAGGTAAATGAATTGTGGAGTTCAGTCCCTGAGCCCATTATGTGCCTCTGTAACCCTTTCCACTACCGCCCACAACATGGGTATGGGGTGCATAAATAACTAAAGTAGAACTAGAAACTTAATAACAGTCTTAAGTGTGCACAGCAATATGCTGCTACCCCCTATAATATATGATAGATTACAGACTGTAGGTCGAGAACTAGCTATGAATTCATCTAATATTCCCGTCTCACAGGATGGTTAGTCAAAATCAAAATAAAAAATCAATGAGTGTGTAATCAAAATGTTTATTCAGATAAAAGTACATACATAGAAGATGAGTTACAAACATAATGTTGGATATATAGATAAAGCTAGTACATACAATACCTAAAGCCACTAATATGCACAGCGTTTCGGGCAAATATATAGTCAAATATGTAATCAGGAGAGAACATATATTACGAATCTAATTTATTTATTCTTGTATATATATACAAGAAGGTACATTGGGTGTATGAGAGTACATATAGCATTGATGTTTTTACATTCATGTAAAGCCACTAACACGCATAGCGTTTCGGGCAGGTCCTTAATCTAACATATAATTTTAAGTAGGTAATTTGTAGAACAATTGAAAAAATGGTAACACGTACATTGTAAGAAAATTTGAAGAGAATTAGTAAGTACATTATAGTAAAATTTGAGGATTAACAACAGGTACATTGTAGTTAATCTACTAGCCTCGCATTTCATATTCTCTCTTGATTCCATGTAAATGAGATTCCATGTAAATAAAAATGAAGGAAAGTTCCTTGGCCAATACATAGACAAGAGACTGATCTTCAGCATTCACATACAACACATAGCCAAAAAAAAGTATCAAAAACTGTTGGTGTACTCTCTAAAATGAGATATTATATTCTCCATTGCTCTCCTCTCATTGTACTACTCGCTAATCTATCCTATCTTACATATGGTATTTGGTTCAACCACTGCAAATTACCTCAAACACTCAGCAAAAATCTGATATCAGAACAATAACAAACTCTGCCTTCAGACAACACACAACCCCTCTGTTTAAGTCCCTAAACATGTTAAACATATATTCACTCTACACATTCTCATGTGTGTACAATTAATTCAATTTCAATGTGTGTATCAAACCTTGTTTTGTACATGTAAAACATGTACAAAACTTTTTTTCTTTCATTCATTCATTCTTAAAACATTCTTAATAATAATAATAATTTATTTGTAAGACGGTACAATGGATTGGTGAGATTACATAACATTTTAACATTCATGAAAGCCAGAAACGCTCTTAATACTTCACCTCTTAAACTGTTCTAGGAATCACCAGAACGTTGGCTCAAGACACTTCAATACCTCAAAATTATTTTATCTTCAACTCTTGTTATATATATAAATAATATATAATTAATGTCTCTGCCGTTGATGTTACAACATGTTGGGTTACCTAGTGCTTTTGAATCCCGCGCGGGTATTACACATTCTTCCATTTCTCCCACTTTACAATAAACACATTTTTTAAATATTTAATAATATATTGTAAATTTTATTATGTAATTTAAAGTAAAAATAATGATGTAGAATGGTAGGAAAGAGTAGGGAGATATTTACCGAGGGAGAGTGAGGCGTGGGAGAGCGTGTGGCCGCCATCACCGATCCTCCAGTCCTTTCCACCACCATGCCGGGCTTCACCGAGAAGGTCAGTGCCATATCTCCGGGTTTTACGCCGTCTCTCGGCCCTTTTAGCTACCATTTACCTCCCCAAACACAGCATTGCTATTAGCTGCACCCGTTATATAGTGCAGAGGGCGTCCAGGTTAATGGGAATAGGGTGTAAATGTGATAATAAGAGTGGGGGCTGGGAAAGGTGTGGGTGATGGCGCCTGCATGTTCCTACCTCTCACACCTTAGACTGCGTTAACCGTTTGTGGTTTGTAGTGAACTACAACACCACTACCTGGTGTATTCCTACAGGAATCCCGATTGTCGAAGAAACCCAACAGTACTGCTATTGTCTTGGGTGTAATTAGTAAAGTGTATTTACGTAGGATGAGCGAGGCTCGTGGTGCCCCGTATTTCCAGCTTTTTGTATAATGGTTTGAAACTAGTGATGGTTGTGGCTTCTCGCCTCATTTGTTCCATCCCTCCACGAATGGAAGTGAATTTTCTTATACTTCTTCGGCAGCTTTGATTTAACATTTTCTTCTTGAAGTTTCAGGTCTCTAGAATTCTTCCCGTATCAATATTGTCGATTCCTGTTACTATTTTGTATGTGGTGATCATATTGTCATTTTCTCTATCTTCTAGCTTTGGCATTTAGTGCCTCTAACCTCTCCTCATGGCTCATTGTGTTTCAGTTCCAGGAGCCATTTAGTTGCAGGTCTGCACTTTTCAATGGGTATAAATTGGATACATTTAGATTTAGGAAAGACTTGGGTAAATACTGGTTCGGTAACAGGGTTGTTGATTTGTGGAACCAATTACCGCGTAACGTGGTGGAGGTGGGGTCCCTCGATTGTTTCAAGCATGGGTTGGACATGTTTAAGTGGGATTGGGTGGTTATAGATAGCTGCCTCGTATGGGCCAATAGACCTTCTGCAGTTAACTTTGTTCTTATGTTCATTTTGTGCTGCTTGAGATGTGGCCACCATACAAGGGAGCCGGTCGGCCGAGCGGACAGCACGCTGGACTTGATCCTGTGGTCCTGGGTTTGATCCCAGGCACTGGCGAGAAACAATGGGCAGAGTTTCTTTCACCCTATGCCCCCGTTACCTAGCAGTAAATAGGTACCTGGGCGTTAAGTCAGCTGTCACGGGCTGCTTCCTGGGGGTGGAGGCCTGGTCGAGGACCGGGCCACGGGGACACTAAAAAAAAGCCCCCGAAATCATCTCAAGATAACCTGAAGATACAACCGCTGCATATTCCAACTTTGGTCTCACAAACATCGTGGACAATTTCACCATTTGTGTATTTAAAAGCAATTCTTAAATTGGAAAGTGTTGCATAGGCTCCTTGCACAAAGTTCTTTGTTGTCTTCAGGAGAGTTATCTAGAACAGCCCCTTGTTTTTTGTCCCATTTTTTTTAAGTGTTCACAGTTTGTAGCTTGCCCCAAAAGTTTCCATAGCTTGGTGCCTCTTGATAATTACTTGTAGATTGTGTATGGCCTATTTTCTCCTATTCCATATCATGGCATTTATTTACATTAAACTCCATTTATGAAATCGTGCTCCATACTGTAGTCCTGGCCTCCTTCAGGGGAAGATACTTAGACAAGTTTATCTTCCCAAGTATATCTGCATGATTAGCGGAAATGTTCGTATGTCCATTCCTTCTGGTAGTTATGTAGACAATGAAATACTGGTAAAAATAAACCCTGTGGTATTATCTCGTGACATTTCTCAAGTCCAACACATTGCCTCCGATTACTCCGATCTGTTTTTGTCGGTTAGAAGATTTAATCCATGTTAGAAGCCTCTCTTGTTACTCTTCCAGTATGTTTCCAGAACACCCTCATATGTGGGACTGTTGAAAGTCTTTTTAGGTCCAGATAAGTGCAGTCAACCCAACCGTCTCCTTTAAAATCTGTACTCTAAAACTGATTTGTTTTAAGTAGATTTGTTACACAGGATTTTCTGGATCGAAAACCATGTCTTATCAGTTTTCTCTAGGCGTTTTATCCATTTGGTTTTAATTTTTTTTCCAATGCACTTGTCAATGATACAGGTCGAGGGTCTTCCCTGCTGCCACTTTTGTAGATTGGAACTTAGCCTTTTCCATATATCCGCCAGGACTTTTGTACACTGCTGTGTATTATTATTCTTTGGTATGTTTGAAGGTTTAGCCTCTTCCTATATTGATTCCACTTGTCTCTGGTCTCCCACTATTTGTTGAACCAATCCTGTTTTCTAGTTCTGCATCTGTTTTGGTATAAATATTTGTTCCTTTATATTATTTACCAAAACTTAAGTCTCATTTACTTCCTTTTTTAACAGCAAGTCTTTCCAGTCAAATTCATTAAAGAATGAGTTGCCCATAGTCCCTCATTCTCTTCTAGATTATAATGCATTACATTATTTCCTAAAGGACATGGTCACTTTTGCCCGAGGGGAAGGGGATGTACTAAATGTCGAATAACTTCTTTCCTGGTGAATATCAAATCCAGCATTGAAGGAATATCCCCTTCCTTCAATCTTGTAGCTCGTTTACAGTGTTGATACATGGTCTCCAGGATGAAGTGTACAGATTAACCAGTTAAAAAAAACTCTTATTCTTGCGTTGTAGGCCTCAAGACATGAATTTAAAGTTCATGGGGATACATGTGGCTCTCATCCTGAACTCTAGTAAACAGACCATTTTGGAAAAAAAATTATGCGTACTGTGTGTGAGCACATGAGCATCAGCACTGCACTGCTTAATGATGAATATAATATGTAATTGCAATTATTGTTGATAGTGTCATAGATGATTGACAGATTATGTACAACATGCAGATAACAATGAACACTGCTAGTTACAATATTCACAGCATGAGGTAGACAGCACCCAGCCATTGTTTCCTGCACCCAGAGACTGAGACTGGTGCCTGGCTAGGGCATTTTTGAATATCATGAAATTGAGGTTACAGTGCTACTTTTATAATAGTTCGAAGGTTTCTTAACACGAGTAAGAGATTTTAGGGACTGACCAACATGAGCCTTGTCCAATAAGCAGCTTGTCCTAAAATAATAAGGTGCAGGTCAGTACGTAACTAAGGTGGTGGTAAAGGCAATTTGAAGGCAGTGGTTGGAGATGGAGGGTTGATGAAGGTGGGTGGAGATGGAGGATATAATTTAAAGGAATTTTCTACTTACAATTTTACTCTACAGTCTTTAGTGAAAGTAGATTGCAGCAATTTAAAGATTTAGTTCACTTTTGTTTTGATCGTATGAAAATTATACATAACCTGTTATGAAGCCTGTTTTAACAGGGTAAGGGTTATCAAAGACAGCCAGTTGTATTTGTAATTTTTATAATTTATATTATAAATGTGCAAAATGTGTTCCATATTAAAACCCAAAGATGAAAAAAAGGTTCATATAATTTCTAAATTTGCACTGTCTAAACAGCACTGGTAATGTTCCATGAATTGGTTAACTTCCCCTTATGACAATACCTTGTAGTGGGCAGATTGTGTACTGCAGATCTTAAAGGAAATTAGTCGTTTGTTAAGTTTTTTGCCACAGATTTAAGAAGCTTGTTCCATCTTCAGGAACAAGTCATTTGGTCCAATTGATTCACTGCCTAATCTCTCAAATATGACTCACTGTACAGTACTGCAGTCGAGAATGTAAACTTACATTCTTACAAACTTACTAAAGAATGTCCAGAGTCAAGAAGTTGGATAGGTTTGTGTACAGTACATAGTGCCTGAGGTTGCAGTTTAATAACTTACTAAATTGGTGGCTATCCAAATCTTGTCATCGAGACAAATTGTAGTCTAAAGTTCAATGTTTTATTTCGGTTTTCAGAAATCTCGATAATCTTCATTTAACCACCTACAGTAACTACTTATTGGATAGTTTACACAGTCATTGTAATGAAATAAATTTTGCAATCTTGCGCATAACATTTTATATTCTTTGGTACTTGGTATAAAATTTTAATTAGACCTATATTGTTTCAGTATAATGTGTTTGTATTGACCTAGCTTAGTTGTAAATTGTTTGATGTTTTTGTATGCCTTGACAATAAGTGCTGGTATGTTCAATATGTTCTCAATTTAATTTTTCCTCCCCCAGCCAATACTGATAAATGCCTCGGGGCATCTTTTGGGCCGCCTGGCGGCCATTGTTGCCAAGACGACACTTGCTGGCCAGCGTGTTGTCGTAGTCAGGTATGTTTTGATTTTTATGAATTTTTTTAATTTTGAATTCTTGAACTTTTTACTTCATGTGCTCTGTGAATATTAAAAATCTGCTTAAAACATTGTAGTTATTAATATTTGGGAATTTTTGGTTCAATTCTTGTAGAATGTCATGTAGTGTATATAGACTTGAAATGTGTGTACATTTCAGTACAATTTTATTTAAATTTAGTTATCTTAATGGTATTGGTGTCTTAATTATGCCTTATGCTCACTGATAATTTATTATCCCATTTTTTCTATTTCATTGGGGTGGGAAGGCATCAGTGTAGTGGTGCACTGATGGTTTTTAAATATACATTCCAGGCATACATTTATCACAACACTGGATTATATAAACAATGATAACCGTTCACTTTCCTTAACACTGGCACTAAACAACCCTGCCCTACCCTTTTTTTTTACCAGCATTTTTTAAGAGGTGACACCCTGATCATATTGGGTTACAGTATTTGGTAATTCTGATTTGAAAATATGGGTTCCTTAATTGAAAGGGTGAGGGCCTTGTTGTCTGATATATAACATGTTTACAGGTGTGAGAAAATAAACATCTCTGGCTCATTCTACCGTAACAAGTTGAAGTATCTTGCCTTTCTCCGCAAGAGGTGTAATGTGAATCCCAAGCGTGGTCCCTTCCATCACAGGGCTCCATCAAAGATTTTCCAGCGAACTGTTAGGGGTTAGTATTTATAGTTACAAGAGCTATGGGTATTTTTGGTTTAACTTTCATCATAACTGGTTTGCCCAATTGTATATTTTTTCATGCATCTGTGAGGGGTGATAAAAGTTGCTTTCCTGTTCATTTGATTTCTCCTGCTTTTTACATAAACCTCTTCTGAGCATTTGGTCTAGGGCCTAAACTTGCATCAATCAGTCCTTTTCATCTCCACACCTCGACTAAAGTTCATAATCCATACAAAACACAAATTTAATTCCACTGTTTTTGCCACTTCGAAAATATATTGCCATGGTCGTAAATATTTTCCTTAATATCTTAAGCTATGCAAACCTTTCATTAAGTTTTTCAATTTTTGTAATGTATTTAAACCATGTTTGTTTTCTGCTCATGTTCATAATTATGGTAATTGTATAGTGATTTATGGCATAGGGACCAGGGATGCCTCCTTTAATTGGCTGTGATCTAATTGTATCTAGTTGGTTTTTAGAAGTTTTATCTCCTGAAAATTGTCCAAGATATTAAAATAGCATATGTTATACAGGAATGTTGCCACACAAAACCACCCGTGGTCTGCAAGCACTCAAGCGCCTTAAGAGTTACGAGGGTGTCCCACCTCCATATGACAAAGTGGCCCGGAAGGTTGTTCCTGATGCTATGAGGATTACAAGGCTTAAGCCTGGCCGTAAGGTATGTTTCTGGGACCTTGAGGATTTAGCCCACACTCTTAAAGCTTTCGTAAAGGTGAATTCGGTATGCAGTAGTTGTAAATTTAACTCGTGTGTATTTGTGGTGTATGGAAAAATGCATCTTAATTTTTTAATTGGAATGCTCAATTATAATGAACACGCATACTGGATTTACATCACTTGACAATTTTATACTAGTGTTGCCTCGATTTTGGGGGGGGGGCATAATTTACTTTGTAGTTTTGCTGGAAGGAGCAGGTGTTGACGCTGCATATATAAAAAATTGGTTGGACTTTGACTATAAGTAATTGCAATCTTAAGAGTTAATAAGGTTTTTTAACTTAAAATTGTAATTTCATATTCATTACTACTAACAGTATGTAGAACAATGCATTTTTTAATCATTATTTGGAGATGTACAGCATTGTAATTATGAGATCTCATAAATTAAAAATTAGATTGTAAAAAGCTGTGCTATAGGAGTGCCAGTGCCTGCCATGCCTGGATAAATATAATAGTGCTTGTCATATTGTCCAATCATTGTATTTGACGGTAATTGTAACCTCCCGCCTTTCCCCTAGGACAGGCTAAATTGTTATGAAAGTTCATCCAGCTTTTGCTACGTAACCTGTGACTGCTAATATTTAACAGGTTCTTAAGTTAACTTTTAATTTTTGAAATTCTCAGTACTGCTACTTGGGCCGCCTTTCTCATGAGGTGGGATGGAAGTACAAGAATGTTGTTGCAACACTTGAGGCACGTAGGAAACTGAAGGCTGCTGTTCTCTACAAGGCGAGAAAAACAGATATGGTAAGAATAGTTTTAACTTTTTAATGAATTTTCCCAACCTGGTTTGGTAGGTACAGCGGAGGCCTCACGTCTTGCAGTTTGCATTCATTCTCCGATGGTCCAATTGCGTTCTCAATTACCTTAGCTTTTATAAAAAATTAAACATGGTTATGATCTGAAATTACTAAATATTTATACAGTATGCAGATATCTTGTATTAAATGCTGTTTAGTATTGGTTAAAAATTGAGTCTAGGATGTCACAAAAGCTAGACGTTTGTCATAACTAACGGAAAAAGTTGTCACTTCAAATTTTTATTCATATAAATATTTTCTAGATGTTGGTTTATTTAAAATTAATTGAATATAATGACCAAGAAAATGGTTCAAAATACTTGTTTTGGTATAGTTCAGTATTTTTAATCTTGTCACGTGCTTCTCTTCAGAAACTGAAGAAACGTGCCACGGCCAAGGTAGCCAAGAGGATTGAGCCCTACTCCAAAGTCATTACCAGTTATGGGATATCCAGTTAATAAACTTGTTTTGATTGGAAAAGTGTTTCTCTGTCCTTGGTTACATTTCTTAATCTGAAATGTGTAAACCATTACAGTACTAGCAAATTGTAATACATTACTGTAATTATTTAAACCGTTTTCATAAAAGATTTAATGTTTTGTTTAGTATACTATTAATTATTTACTTTGATATTTGTAAAAATTAAGCTTGTTAAAAATAAAGCTAAATGCCATAAATTTTATTAATATCTGAGAAGACATTTTGTGCCTTTTTATAATTGAATACATTTCCAATCCTTTTCCTGGGTTAAGGATTTTTTTTTAATATTACATGGTAAGCTAATTTTTAAGTCGACCCAATACAAGTCTGCAACCACTTGGGCTGGATGGTAGAGCAACTGTCTTGCTTCATGCAGGATGATGTTCAGTCCCTGACCATCCAAGTGGTTGGGCCCCATTCATTTCCCCCATCCTATCCCAGATTCTTTGTGTGCTATACTCATAATGGCTTGGTGCTTTCTCCGGATAGTTCCCTTTTAAATGCAGGCCATTTCTTGAATGGTGATTAAAGGATGGTACAAGAGTGGATTTAATTAATATAATTAAAATGCTTCCAATAGTAATCAGGTATGTTTTTTTTCGTTTTTTGCATAGTTTATAATTCATTATTTTCCTTCATTCGGAGAAAGAGCAATATAGGAAAACCATACGTGCATTAGATAACCTGCCTATTTAGTTTGCTACGTTAAAATGTCAGAACATGCTCCAGTAAGGTGTTCCTTCTTTCCCTTAGTTTTAATAAAGTAATCTGTATATTTAGTTGCCTTCAATTTTTCTTGCATTCACTTTTTTCATACTTTGTATTTGTAAGCAAAGTTATTTTGTTTTAGCCCAGTCTCTTTGTCAGGCTGTTTTTGTTTCCATCACCTATTATCTCGCCTCCATACTCTAGTACTGTACTGATTACTAGTTTAAATAACTAATATTTCCCTTTCAGTTTCTACTAATGCTTAAATATTCCTAATCCTTTTGTACTCATCAGCTGGGTAAGGAATATGAAGCATGTTTGGAGAAACAATCATTGCCAACAGGTTCTTAACATCCAGCATACAGAACCTGTGCCAATTGTTGTCCTTGCCTGAAGTTGACTTGCACAGTACAAGTATAATACAGTAATTGTGGTAAGTGTTTGAATATTGAGTGTTTTGTATTGTGTGAAGATATTACTATTAATAATGCTTTATATACACTATATATTTAACAATATGTATGAACGAAAATTTCAAAATTTAACAATAAACGTTGAATTCATATCCTTATCAGAGATGTGTAACATTGGCAGGATAATACTCTACCCAGTTTTTGTTGTATACTGCTTTAAAACAAAATTAGTTTACTTTAATGATGATTTATTAACACCGTAATATGAAAATGTATGAAATTGTAACATGCACTACCAACTGAGAAAATGTCTCGTATAAATGTTTGACCCCCGGAGGGAAATAGTGTTAATGTTTACCCTCCTTAACAGGGTGTCCAGTTCTGGCCCAGGTTGCAAATCCAGTGCCAAAATTGGTTTCCGGTAAGTACACATTTAAATTTTTAAGGGGAACATTCCAATTTTGTATATTTAGAAATTTTTAAATCTAAGTACATACTGTACTTCATAAAGTAGCATTAAATAAGAACATTATTAATTTAAAGCAAATGTTATTGTTAAATTATTTGTTTGGTATTATTGAAATATATTCTCTCAATCCTAGTAGCCATTATATTCTGAAATTAAAGAACAAATTTTAGAATAACATTTGAATTTGCATACTGTATTGTGATGATTCATAAACACCATTGTATGAAAAAGCATGATTTATTTTTACATGCACTACCAGCTGAGGAATGTGTAATATAGGTTTTTAATCCTTGATGGAAATAGTTGTATTAATGGTTTATTCTACCCAACAGAAACCAAATCCAGTTTGGGCCCAGCTAGCGAAGCCAGTGCTGAAATATTTTCCAGTAAGTACTTAAATCTAATGGATCTTGGGAACACATTCTATTCACAGCCAGTAACTACAAAATGTATGCATTCCACATTGGACAGTTGCCGTTGGTTGTGATTGGAATGTGTTCAAGATTCCTCGTTTTACTGAAGCGTGCAGTACTAGTAGGGGTTTTGGAAAAGATATTTCAGAAACCAAGATAATTGGAACAATAAATAAACCTTTGCAACCCCTCCCCCCCCCTCCCCTGATGTAAACTGCAATTCCCTCCCCCATGCACACTGATGCAACCCCTTTACCCATTTACACCATTCCAGGTGCTAGTTGTATCTTTAATGCTATTTGTAGCAAAATCTGTTACCTGTTACTTTATATCATAACCATAGTCCAAGCTTTAGTTTTTGTGATATGATGATTCTTAAACACCATTGAATGAAAGTGAATGATTTTCTTACATGCACTACCAACTGAGGAATAGCCAATACATAATTTTTACCCCTGATAGAAATTACATTACTGATGCGTGTTTATTTTTCCCAACAGAATGTAGAGATGAAGTTCAACTGGGTGCCTGAAATATTTCCCAGTAAGTACATTTGAATTTGTTCAATATAAATTTAATTTTACTATTGGTTGTGATCAGGATGTACAGTATTTAGATTCATGTATTGTAGATCATGTATTATTTTTCTTAATAGAATTTAAATTGCCAATGAGCACTGCACACCTGTTCCATAAAATACCCCACCCATCTTTTTGGCAGCCTTTACTCAAATGTATGGACAGGTTGCTGTTGGTTGTGATTGGAATATGTTCGAGATTCCTCATTTTACTGAAGTGTGCAGTACTTGTAGGGGTTTTGGAAAAGATTTCAGATGCCAAGAAATTTGGAACAATAAATAAACCTTTGCAACCCCTCCCCCCATGCACACTGATGTGATCCCCCTCCCCCCATGCACACTAATGCAAACCACCCCCCTCCCCCCCTTTTTCCCATGTGCACCATTCCAGATGCTAGATGTATCTTTAATGCTGTTGGTAGCAATATATTTGGGTTACCTATTACTTTATATCATAACAATAGTCCTAGCTTTAGTTTTTCAGTGATATGATGATTCCTAAACACCATTAAATGAAAGTGAATGATTTTCTTACATGCACTACCAACTGAGGAATATCCAATACATAATTTTTACCTCTGATAGAAATCAAATTACTGATGCATGTGTATTCTACCCAACAGAATGTCGAGTTGAGGTTCAACTTGCAGACAGTGCCAAAATATTTTTCAGTAAGTACGTTTGAACTTGATCAATATGCATTTTATTTCACTATTGGTTGTGATTAGGATGTGTTTAGGTTCCTGTATTGTAGATCATGTATTATTTTTTTAATAGTATTTAAATTGCCAATAAACACTGCACACCTGCTCCATGAAACACCCCACTCATCTTTTTGGCAGCCTCTGCTCATTGTGTGCTTGCATTACACTTCCTTGTTTACATAAAATTTTGTTACAGGGAGGTATTTTAATTCATTTTAACCTTGCAAACAAAGCCTTACTTGTCATTATCCTGTTGCTTTCAATTATATTGTGCTCATCCAAATCTATTTAGTTGCTTTTTGTTGTGATGATTCCAAAACACCATTATATGAAAATGCATGAAATTTCTAACATGCACTACCAACTGAGGAATATGCAATAACGGATTTTTATCCTTGATGGAAATCATATTACTAATGAGTTTCTATTACCCAACAGAAAGCATGGCAAGCCTAGAGCAGGCTCGGTGTGCAATTCATCGCTGAAGAGTTCTTTTGGTAAGTCCATATTTGATTTGTAATTATTTGTATGTTTTAAATGTACTGTAGTGTATACATGCCTAGTGTGCTTATTCTTTCCGTTGAATCATTTATTTCTTAGCTACAAATTGTGGGGATTTTTGGCAATACAACAAATGGTTTGTAGATATTATAATATCCACAAAATTCTAAGTGCTGTATATATGTAGAGCAAAGTACTCTCTGGCACTGTTTGGTTGTTCCGGCAATAATTCTTATACTCGCTGGGAGGCTGTTGAACAAGCTGAATTAAATGCTGTGAAATCTGTATTGTTGGCTTCTGTCCATTGTTTAAATATAGCTCCATTAATATAAAGGTGCATGTTTGAATGCACCTGTCAGCTAGCTAGGCTTCACATGTTCATCTCTACTGAACAACTAAAAACTGGGTGCTCCTATTACTATTCCAATCTGCATTCTTATTGCTTTGCAAAATTTCTTTGCTTCATTTCACACCTTTTCTCATCTACCTTTTTTTTTATCCCATGTGCTGTTTTCTCTTTGTTTTCTGTTTCAAGAGCATATATTTGCACATCTTGTAATGTACTGTATATAGTTTAAGTATAGTAATGGTTGGTTATTTTTTATTTGAATTATCCACTGTATCCATAATACATTTTCATTGTATTCATAATACGTCTTTTCGTTGAACAGGACTTGATGCTTTGAACCTGATACGGACATACACCCCTGGCAGAAAATTGATAAAAATATCAAAGAACAAGGCAAGTGGTTATTTATATCTTCGTTTGACCTTATTGAGCTATGATGACAAACACATGTGCGAAGGTTGACCCAGTTTTTGGTGATCTTTGGTGACAATGCAGCACAAGCTTGCTTTAGGGGTTGTTATGGGTACTATTTTTGCCTGTTGCCCCTGGGAAGGTCTGAGAGAAGGGACATTGATGCTCCAGACGGGCAACCTTTGAGAAGAGGGGCAGAGCACCAGAAACCTGTAACCTGGCTATGGAGAGTCGAGGACATCTGTTAATTTAACAGGTGGAGACGATTCCTTAGCCTTGTTTGGAATGTTCTTGTGTCCAGCCTAGTTCAGTGTGATGAGCAAGGTGACCATTTGGTCATAACTCAATTCAGACTATTCTGTGCTGCAGAATCCCTTGACCAACCTGAAACTGGGGTGTTGTACCATATGTGCAATGATTATGAGAGCTGAGCGGTTAGATTTTGTATGTAAAGTGCATGTTGTTAGAACTTATTAATTAATGTAATGTATTTACATTACAGCGGCATGAATGAGCATCTTGACCTAGTGCGAAGCTGTAACTTCAAGGAAGTAATCTTAATGGTTAGTATATGTTTGTGGCATTTGTTTTCAACTTTTTAAGAATTTTCATAATACTTTTGAAGAAAGGTCCTTGTTGTACAGTAGCTATAGTAGTTTGTTTTGTAATTTCTTATGCTGCAATCATTAACTTTCTTAAATTTTGAAGCTATGATGACAAACACATGTGTGAAGGTTGACCCAGATTTTGGTGATCTTTGGTGACAATGCAGCACAAGCTTGCTTTAGGGGTTGTTATGGGTACTATTTTTGCCTGTTGCCCCTGGGAAGGTCTGAGAGAAGGGACATTGATGCTCCAGACGGGCAACCTTTGAGAAGAGGAGCAGAGCACCAGAAACCTGTAACCTGGCTATGGAGAGTCGAGGACATCTGTTAATTTAACAGGTGGAGACAATTCCTTAGCCTTGTTTGGAATGTTCTTGTGTCCAGCCTAGTTCAGTGTGATGAGCAAGGTGACCATTTGGTCATAACTCAATTCAGACTATTCTGTGCTGCAGAGTCCCTTGACCAACTTAAAACTGGGGTGTTGTACCAGATGTGCAATGATTATGAGAGCTGAGCGGTTAGATTTTGAATGTAATGTGCATGTTGTTAAAACATTAATTAATGTAATGTATTTACATTACAGCTGCTTGAATGAATATCTTGACCCGGTGCAAAGCAGTAACTTCAAGGAACGCAATCATAATGGTTGGTATATGTTGGTGGCAATTGTTTTCAACTTGAGAATTTTCATAATGGTTAAAATAGTTTTGAGAAAAGGGCCTTATTGTACAGTAGGTAGTGGAACAGTTATGCCATTCAATAAATATTTTGAATTTTATTGTAATTAGCAGACAATTTAGTTTAAACATTCTGATAGTTAAAATGTCATTCTGTATTCGGCCAATTTAAATTTGATAGTTTGGAGATACGTTTCACGATTAACAAAAATTGACCCATTTGATCTTTGCACAGACCTGGTGCAAAACTGTTTTTTTTTTTTTTCACAAAATTTATACACATTTACTTGCCTATTTACTGAATTTTTACCCTGGCACTAGTTTTAGAAAATGGATATGCTACATGAATATAGTATTGTAGTTTATTTTGTAATTTTTTATGCTGCAATCATTAGTTTCCTTAATGAAATTTTGAAGCTATGATGACAAATACATGTGCGAAGGTTGACCCAGTTTTTGGTGATCTTTGGTGACAATGCAGCACAAGCTTGCTTTAGGGGTTGTTATGGGTACTATTTTTGCCTGTTGCCCCTGGGAAGGTCTGAGAGAAGGGACATTGATGCTCCAGACGGGCAACCTTTGAGAAGAGGGGCAGAGCACCAGAAACCTGTAACCTGGCTATGGAGAGTCGAGGACGTCTGTTAATTTAACAGGTGGAGACAATTCCTTAGCCTTGTTTGGAATGTTCTTGTGTCCAGCCTAGTTCAGTGTGATGAGCAAGGTGACCATTTGGTCATAACTCAATTCAGACTATTCTGTGCTGCAGGGTCCCATGGCCAACTTAAAACTGGGGTGTTGTACCATATGTGCAATGATTATGAGAGCTGAGTGGTTAGATTTTGAATATAATATGAAAATTTTATAAGAGGAAATTTTTTAATTACATTTCCATTACAGGTAGAAGCAATCTCTGCCTTGTGCTTGTGGAATCTTTAGCTCCAAAGATGCTCCTGAAAGTCAATATGGTGAGTGATAAAGATCTCGACTTGTAAGCTTTGCAGTGAAGTACAAGCAGTGTGCTAAAGATATATTTTTGGCCATCAATGTTTATATACTAAGCAAAATTTATTAAGGTGTTAATGCATGTATATTTTCATCAAAATAACTGCAAGCTTTAGATACAGTATTAATTTACTTTTGAATGAATGTCCAATACTGGAAGATAACATTAAAGATAATATATTGTCAATATTAGATTAGTAATATACTAGAATGCACACCACTAAAATAACTTTGGCACATGAAAGTGCAGTAAATTAAAAAAAAAATGAGGCCTTGAACATACCTGGGGAGGGTCTTGGGACTTCTACTCTCAAGCCCAGTCTGAGGCCAGGCTTGACCCTGCATGGTCCTGTCATGGTCAATGACTTGATAGGTTGAGATGATATCTTCGATGGGCAATCCAGGGTGGCTTGTAAAGTTTCTACTGACCTCTGAAGTGAAATTAAAAATTGAGCTTGAACTCAGAACCCCATCAAGCAGGTAGTTTGTATGGAGGAGATTCATATATTCATTGTTCACTTTTATTTGGAAGTTATCTGCCCAGTAAGCAGCAGCAACTGGTGTGGATAGGGATAATGTAGTGAGTTCTTTGCTCTTTAACAAACCAGACTCTGGGTTTCTGTACCTTTGTTAAATTAATTACTTCAATGGACCCTTAGGCTAGAATATGCATGTGCAATATGTACTTGCATAATTCTCTTGGCTTTTTATGGTGAATTGAACCTATGCTGCATGTGTATTTTAAGCACTGACTTTTAAATTGAAGCAATCCATCCTGCAAAATTGTCAACCTTATGGCAAGGGGGGAAATTTAAGCATCTGGGCTGCCTCCTGTGTGTTTGTGCTCAAGATGTTACACCTTTGGCTCCTTCCTATTGCTTGCTAAATGTTTTTCAGAATCCCTACTATGCTACTAATGCTGCATACAGCTGTCTTCCTCATTTTTCTCTTGGCTCTCCTATATAAACAGTAAGGCTGATATTCTGTACTAATGTCCTCTGGTCAAAAGGAGAGAACTGGCTCCTCTCCAAAGTAAAACCTATTCATGAACCTTAAACCATAACAATGGTATTAAGTTGTTACTTTAACCATTTTATTTTCCCTTTTTTTCAGATTTCAAGGTTTCTTGAAATGAGCTGAACCAAGAGATTGCTGCTTATTAATGGGTGAACAGCACAGGATGGCTAAGCTATTTGTTTAAGCATTACAAGGCACTTCTGTTGGAAGTATTATCAATATACCAATTGGGAAAACTAGATTTAGGTGATATTGAATTTAAAATATTCATATTAATGTTTCAACTTGGTAGCTTTTTGTTCAATATATTATATACAGCCACATTTTCAGCTGTCTATAGACTTTACAAATTTAAAGATTTGGGATAGACCAACCCTCTGTTTTCAAACAAAAAACTTGAACAATTGGCTTAGCCACAGGGTGAATATTCATTAGACACTAGCTTCAGCAATTGGATCCTAAATGTGAGTACAGAAGTAGTTTTTTTTAATCATTTGATTGCTTACATTTTGAAGCTATGATGACAAACACATGTGCGAAGGTTGACCCAGTTTTTGGTGATCATTGGTGACAATGCAGCACAAGCTTGCTTTAGGGGTTGTTATGGGTACTATTTTTGCCTGTTGCCCCTGGGAAGGTCTGAGAGAAGGGACATTGATGCTCCAGACGGGCAACCTTTGAGAAGAGGGGCAGAGCACCAGAAACCTGTAACCTGGCTATGGAGAGTCGAGGACATCTGTTAATTTAACAGGTGGAGACGATTCCTTAGCCTTGTTTGGAATGTTCTTGTGTCCAGCCTAGTTCAGTGTGATGAGCAAGGTGACCATTTGGTCATAACTCAATTCAGACTATTCTGTGCTGCAGAGTCCCTTGACCAACTTAAAATTGGGGCGTTGTACCATATGTGCAATGATTATGAGAGCTGAGCGGTTAGATTTTGAATATAATATGAAAATTTTGTAAGGTTGTATTAATTAATGAAATTAAATTTCATTTGCAGTTCACCTACATGAAAGGAGCTGTTGAATCTTTAGCTTCAAAGATGCTCTGGAGGTTATGGTTAGTATATATATCTGACAGTTATTTCAAGCTAAGATCAATGTATGATCAATCATTATTTTATTTATATTAAATTTTAAAGCATTTTCCTCCATGTACAGTACTGTAACTATTTTGTGGCCGGTCAGGGTTCCATCTCTTCAATACCAGTATGTTGAGACTTGTATTATCTTGCTGGTTTTGTGTAAGGGAGCCTTACCTTGCAATGAGTGTTCACGTTCTTCAGTCTTAATGGTTACCTTTGGTGAAAGACTTTTCTTTGGGGAAAAGGAAGTCATAAATTTTGGCGATTCTTTAAATGTGGCAGAAATAGCCCTTCAGTGATTATCAAATTAAAATTTTGTATTGAATTGTCAGTAAATAAATGTTCGCATTCTGTACATTAATGACTCATTAATGATGTGTATAAGTACATGGGTCCGTTTCTTCCTGGAGGGAGCAGACGGGTGATTTTCTTAGATACATTGTCTTTGTGGTAGAATATTCAAATATTGTATGGAAGGATTCTTACATGTGAATTTATTAATAAACATTAGTGTTTAAATTTGTGTATTTTGTCCTTTAATAATCGTTAACCATGATGAATTGTAAAATGTTCGGTTACGTGCTTAATGAAATTGATAAATTTGATGGGAACTCTACCAGCTGCCCGTTACACTGAAATTGCCTCAACAGGTCAAATTTTTTAGTTTGTCCCTCTTGGTTTCATGTTAATTATCTGCGACTGTTCGAAAGTGTTTTACTAAAGTATACGTTCTGGGTGGTGCTAGACTAAACAGTCCTCTGTATGATTACCTAATTCACAATAGGCGGTCCGTTCTGGACAATTATAAAGTGCATTTGATATGGTACACAACGGACCAAAACATTTTCTATACACTGGTTTGGTCATATCTTCAGCCACGGCGTCTTTTGGTAATTAATTACTACATTTGACTCGTCTGCAATCCTCCATTTGCAGTTTTATCCAGTACTGTCCTGCAAGAGTTTTAAAGCTTACATAGGATTTAAGGTATATTTGCTGAAAATAATGCAAATGCATATGTAGGTTCTACATTGGCTCCATCTGATAGTGAATTGTGGTTATCGAATAGTCTTAAAGAGCTCGGCTACAAAAACTTCCTAGAATTTGTACATTACTTACCAGGATGGTGTTCTGAGATTTCCTATCCAAGCCCAGTCATGCTCCACTTTTGAGAGCTTGGTCCAACAGGCTGTTGCTTGGAGTGGCCCACAGCCCGGTTGTTCCAGCACTTTTTGAAGATATTTAGTTTTTTCTTTGTGTTCACGTTTGTTCCGGCAATATTTCTTGTACTTACTATTTTTTATTTTTAATTGCTTGCTCCTCCGTATTTCGAATATTACGTTTAACCAACCCAAAAGGTGTTTCAGTGTTTGGGGTTTATTATCCTTAAGTACATTATGTAAGTAGTAGTGGAGAAAGGTTAAGGCACAACCTGTGCTCGGGAACATTTTTTTTAACTGAACACAAATTATTTTAACAAGAAAATTACAACAATGATAAGCTAGTTAACGTAATTTACCAGATCGAAATACTGTATATATATAGTTTACGTAAGTGTACCGTGACCTAGTTTACTAAATCTGATTTACCAGGGCGGTGCAAAGCACAAAGGCCTAAGTATCAACAGCATGAGTTAATGCCACCACAACAGTTTACTGATCAAGTATACTCGTGAATATAGTCTAGTACTGAAGCTGGGTGCATACCTGTTAACATGTAGTTCATTCCCGGCCTGGTGTCGCCTTTTGATAATTACTTTTTTTTTTAATATCCTGGGTCCGTGTGCAATTGATGTTCTCAGGCGGATTTATAATAATGAAGGTTTTCTAATGATAAGAGTAAACAGGTTTATGTTCTGCTCCCAAATATAGTTCATAGAGTGGAGGAGGCATATCCACTCTTTAACCGGCGAGTAATATGGGCAAACCATGTTAAAATTTATTGCCCCAAAACAACGTGAATTATTGTATCATATTCATGAGACATTTTTGATATGAGATGTTTGGTGACACTTGCAGACAAGTAGTTGTTTGATTCAGTTACTCATAACAAAAGTTCCGAGTAGCACGGGCTATGATGAGCCCGTAGTGGATTTACCTGGCACAGGAGCGGGGCTGTAACCGATGTTCCTGGAGACGGGTCTCTTGGATGTATGCCTACTTATACTGATGCTGAACCTAGTCAATACAACTATATAATACTCAGGGTAGCATCAAATGAAGTATTCTCAACCTTTGGAACCTCTCATGTTTGCGTCATGTAAAAGTTCCATCAGCTGGAATAGTACCTTACCTTATTACATTCTTTCCTTACTCGGCCTGTCTATAACTTGGTATCTCCTAGTGTTTCTGTAGCTCATAAGTGGCATACAGAACTCACAAATTAATGACGTATCGCAGTCTTGGATTGAGGCAACTTTAGGGTCTGCAGCCTTTGGTGTTTTGGAGGACTGATAACTGAGATAACAGGTAGAGAACAATACTTCGTTATTCACTGTTTTCTCTTAGATTAGATAAGTGTTGGTGGCCCAAGTTAATAATAAAGTGACCTTATGTCTTTGGATAGCGAGGTGTGAGGTGGTGCTGGAGAGGTCAGCAGGACCATGCCGCTGCTGGCTTGCACCGGCGAGTTGAACCAGGAGGTTGTCTTCTTCCTTTCTCTTCCTGTCGACAAGAACTTTAGCTCTCCAAGCCTGAGATAACAAGGTAATGATAACACATATCTCGTAGCTCTTCTTATCTTCTGATAGCAGTACTATGTTGCCATTCACTTCGACTCCCGCGATTATTTGGAGCACTGAATTGTTTCAGTACAATATCTGGTAACATTCAGGAAAAAAAATAACATTTTAAACTTTAAGCAGTATTTTGTATGGAATATATAGTTTGTACATGAATGAATGCGGGTTTAAGATGAGGAATATATGAGAGGAAGTATGTGGAGACGCGACAACAGGGCTTGAGGAGTGGGGGGGGGGAGGAGGCAGAACACCACAGCTCTAGCAGTACTCACCTTCAGCACACCGCCTTCGCTGCTAGTCTTCTAGAACTGTCATTCTCCTATACGCTCTTAAGGAATATTACCCAATGCAGACAAGTCAACAGCTCTTGAAGAGCTCTTACTAAAGTGCGAAATATTTGTTTGTGACTTAAGCATAAGCACCTTAATTATTACGGACGAAAGAACTGATAATATTCGTATCCTAGATTTAAAGTGTAATGTTAAATTTTACTGTGGTTAGGAACAAGCGCCTTGACAGTAAACCTGTTGAAGTCTGAAATTAATAACTGAATACTTGAAGCTTTCCACAAAGACAGAATTTATATGAATATTACAATAATCTTGAGAGCGCTTTCTGGAACGATGTTAACCTTGGAGTACAAGGAAGACCAGTAACTCTCCAGTTAGTGTGGTGGACGCAGATACCCTTAAAGAACCCTGCCTCCAGCTCCACTGTTCTCGGGTAAGTTCTTCCTCGCCAATATTCTTGGCCACGCATTCCTCTCATGTCATAGCACTCGCAGGCTTCGCTTCAAGAATGAAATTGGGAATTCAGTGTTAACAATATTGGTAATGGAGGCGGCTACTTATTGATCATATGCTTTTAGTTTATATTAACTTACTGATTGACATCAAGGAAAAGGAATATATGAAATTCTTTTCTAGTTATTCATACTTAACATGTCTTCGACTGTCAATGTGAACGACTCGAAACCAAGCCAACAGGAAGCCCAACAACACAGTGTTTATTCGTCAAACAGAAGAAAATCATGCTAATACCAACTGTAACAGCGGTAAAATAATAACTATTACAACTACTAATTTTAGTTACAACAATTAATAATAGAACAACTGCGACCCTTCGCAGCGCAGAGCCATGTTAAGGCAGTGTTGTAACCCGGTACTCGAGGCACATATTGAGGGCCCTCGTGATAAAAGGTGTAGTGGGGGGGGGAGGGCATGGAGAAGAGGGGCACTTAAGGGTTGTCGTGTGTAGCAGCAGGTGAGAGAGAAATCTTATCTAGTTAAGGAAGCAACGGTTTCCCCAGCTACAGGTAAGCTTCCAGCCTATACTGTTAGCAGAAGTTATAGTTCCCTGAGATCATCCAGCAATTCCTTTGAGACTAGACACTTATTTTGGCATGTCTCCTGCATATGCAGATCATTCATTTGGACCTGTCCGTCTGTTCCTACATAGGTAATAAGCATATGTAGTTTTGTTTAAAAGACTGTCATTAATAATATGTTCCCTTACATGCTCCCTCCCTTACACGCTTCCTCCCTTACATGCTCCCTCTATGTTCGATCCTCTTCACAACAATCTTTAAAAAATCTTCTTAAAAAAATCTACAAAAACAATATGTACTGTAAGGATAAAATGTTTAACACAGGTGGTACGTGAACAAGGGGACACAGGTGGAGACTTGAGTACCCAAATGAACCACAGGGACGTTAGAAAGAACTTGAACTTGAACTACTCTAAAGTGTCAGAGTAGTTAACAAGTGGAATGCATTAGGCAGTGATGTGGTGGAGGCTGACTCCATACACAGTTTTAAATGTAGATATGATAGAGCATGTACATCTACCGGTACTCTACCCAACTATGTGAGTACCAGTAGATTGACAGTTGAGAGGCGGGACCAAAGACCCCCCAAGCTCAACTCCCCCGCAAGCACAACTAGGTGAGTGTGCACACACACACACACACACACGGCCTCGTGGCTGAGTGGACAGCGCTCGGTGATCGTAGTCCCAAGGGCCTGTGTTTGATTCCCGTCCGAAACAGAAACAAATGAACAGTTTCTTTCACCCTGATTTACTGCTGTTCACCTAGCAGTAAATATATACCTGGGAGTTAGACAGCTGCTATGGGCAGCTTCCTGGGGATGTATGTGTGTGCCTGTGTTAGAGAGAATTACATGTAGTAGACATAATAAGAGGGGAAATACCTGTCGTCTATGCTACCGCCGGTATTGTATTTCTTTTATAATTCTGATTTATTTGTGGGAATACAAACAAAAATTCAGAGAAAGTGAGAGGAGTCTTGGAGTACGGCTGAGCTGCTCTTGAAGATATGGGAAACCCAAGACAATCTTCGCTAGGCTCTCCGCCCTGCACTGCTATCATCAACGTAATATGCCACAGTTTATTCTGTACTTAATTTTAACATCTAATACATATTTTTTTTTTTTGAGATATATACAAGAGTTGTTACATTCTTGTACAGCCACCAGTACGCGTAGCGTTTCGGGCAGGTCCCTGGAATACGATCCCCGCCGCGAAGAATCGTTGTTACAACCAAGTACTCATTTTACTGTTGAGTTAAACAGAAGCTACAGTTAAGGATTTGTGCCTAGTTAATCCTCCCCGGCCAGGATACGAACCCGTGACAAAGAACTCGCGGAACGCCAGGCGAATGTCTTACCACTACACCACGGAGACATTAAATTAGCTGATATATTAACTTAGACCAGGATACTGGTTTACTGATTATCTCAAGAAAAAGGCTTAATTAATT